CTGGACTCACTCCAACCAGTCTATATCCTTCTGATGTTGGGGGTTTCACAGCTGGACGCGGCACTCCAGGAGGGAGTACTGTGCTACCGTAAAGCAGTGGTATTGTAAAGCAGTTCTGGTAAACAGGCATCCTGTAAGCCATGGTTTGTAATTTGGTGGCTCAGTAATAAATCAAAAGCCAGCAAAAACTAAAAACTGGGCAGTGTGCTGTAGCCTGTGGGCAGTCCCTGCGGAGGCAGATACACCGGCAGCGGGAGCGGTTGGGATTGTGGCTGTCGCTGGAGGCACAGGCGCTACGCATGGTGATGCTCGTAGGGTAACAGACATTAGCAATGTAATGAATGATTTCTTCTGAGGTGGAGGGGGAAAAAAAAAATCATAATAATCAGTAAGCAGCTGAAATGGCCTGCTTTTCCCACTGGAGCTCACTGACCATGTGACAGCAAGGAGCCCCGTGCAGATCATAGGCCCTCATAAAGGCGAACACGGTTTGCGTGCAGTTTAGGCTACTGAAAGGGACATAAAGTTGTTTTTTTACAAATGTTAGGAGAAAATTAATCCACTGCATCTTGAGAGCTTACATAAATCGGCATGCAAAAATAACTTGAAAGTTCTGCTGTTGTCTCTCAGGAGGTGTGGGTAGAAAATGCTGATTTTTAAAACGCAACTGAATAGGGAAATGTAGCAGGCCACAGCCACTTTTAAAAGCAAACAGTCTTACCAGTTGTGAAAATAAAAATTTCCCTTTTTACTCTATTTCTCACGGAAGGCAAAATAAAACCATTCACAAGTCAGTGCCTAGTGTCTCTTGATCATAAAGCAGCAAGTTATGCTTTTGCAATAATGATTCAAGACTCTTAATAACGGCTAAGTATATGAAAATATAAGTTAAAAGAGTCTTCATCTTTGATGTTTTACAGTGATCTGTGTACGGTGTCAGTGCACGTGACTTCATTTGGGCCTTGGGTTGTTTTCTTCAGGAAAGGGAGTTGGCTTGGGAAATTTCCCTCATGTTGCAATTGGTCTTGTTGGATAAATTCATCTGAGAGGCTGGGGGCTTGCTTTTGTTTCTAGACGTCAGGCAACAACGCAGTGAGTTTTCTAGAGAAGCTGGAAATAGATGGTGGTTCCTGGAATGCCCCAGGGTGATGTCCTCTCCCACCAGCATCACCGTCCGACGGCCACGTGAAATCCCAACGTTAGAAAATACGGTCCTGTGGTTTATTTGAAAGGAAGGGTCTTGTGTATGGAGAGTAATGCCAGGGAAGGGGTGCAGCTGGCCAGTCTGTACCCGAGACAGCTGCCTCGTTTGCCCAGGGACGTCACTGAGGCCACTGACTGTTCCTGCAGATGCGGGTGGGAAGAGACACGTGGCTCCTGTCCCTGCTCCCGGCTTGAGGCGAAGCCCTCTTGCAGAGGCTGCTTGTGTGAAAGCCAGCGTACGCAGCCTTAGTGCCACGGGGTGAATCTCTTCCCTGGGAGACGCAGTTAGGGCTCCAACAGTATCACAGGACCCCAAACAGCTTAAAGAGGTCCCGTCACAAGGTGCCTGGGATGTCCTCGGTCTGTCTGGGGGTGCTGCAGCGTGCCAAGGAGAAACTTTGCATTTCCAAACAAGTGCTCATTTTTCAGGTTCGGAGTTCAACATCTTCTGTTAGCACGACTGCTGCCTCTCCAAACGAGCAGTTACGGTACTCTGCCTTTTGTTTTCCCCTGCGTTTCTCTGTGAGAAAACATCTGAATCGGGACAAAGTATGAAAATGTACCTGTGTCCTCCTTCCTGATGGAAACCGTGTACTCACGAAATGTCAAACTCTGTGTATAACACTTAGCAACAATTCTTTGTAATGTTTTATCACCACTGGTTCAAATTTTTATACTG